TATATATATATATATGCAGGATACATTAATGTATTTGTTTTTCTTTTTTGTTTTGCATGCAGGCAAACAAATGCTTTGAAGCCTTTGACTTTGGCGATGTTGCCAATGCCATATACAACTTTTGGTTGTATGAGTTGTGCGATGTTTACTTGGAGGCAATAAAGCCTCGTATACAGCCATATGAATCTTTCTCTGGTGGTGAAGGAAAGAAAGAGGAGGATATGCATGCAGTTGCAGCTCGTGTAAGGGATGCTCGTGTTGCGCAAGAAGTACTATTTACATGTGTAGATAGAGGATTAAGATTACTACATCCTATTTGTCCTTTCGTAACAGAGGAACTTTATCAAAGATTACCCGAAAATAACGCCAAGTATGAATCCATTTGTATCAGCGATTACCCACAGTCTGTACTGGCTTGGACGAATCCTGCGCTTGATGTAAGTGCTTCCTTAAATAGCTAAATGAATATAAATGAATATAAAAATAATATCTAAGTAAAATAAGGGGAAATCATTCATATTTTCGTCTATTTAGCAGGAGATTAGACGACAGTTATGCTAACCTTGTTGTGCACCTCCTTGCATGCATGCTGTCGTTTGCTATGAAATTGCAGACTAATATGCAACAACTGCAGCAAATTGTTGGACATTTCCGATCTTTGTTGGCTGCATTGGAAATTCCTCCAAAAGTTAAGCCGCAAGGCTATGTATTGTTGCGGGATGAGGCGAAGGAGCAGATGGGTTTCTTTAAAGATACAGCACAGACAGTGGCGATCTTGGCGAAATTGAAGGATGTAAGGCATTCAAATTAAATAATAATTATAACTAACCACAAATAAGTTGAATGTGTTCATTAGAAATGCAAGAAAAGTAGCCATTTTCGCCTGTTCAACTTAATGTTCAACTTTTTGCAGGTTCAATTCATTACTGATTCCCCTCCTTCTGGCTGCGCCTCCGACGTCGTATCACCACATTTAACAATTTATCTATCAATTAGTGAAGGAGTAAACATAGCGCAGACGTTGGAGAAATTGAAGAAAAAACAAGCAAATCTATTATCTAGGGTAGGTGCTGCAGTGACACCGCAACGTAGTGTTCGTATTAAGGACGCACTTAGCTGCATAACAGCAGCAGATTTATCCATTGTTTCTTTTATATATGAAGTATACTTTCTTTTATTGCTGCCTTCGTCCTACCAAATTGACGTCTATACTACAGAAAATGCTTCCTATGTATGCAGTATGTTTTTTTTTATTGCTGCTTGCTTTCTTTCCTGCAGATGGACGTCTATATTAAGAAGATCCAAGAGCCAAACTTCGATAAGGCGCCAGAGGCAGTCCGTGAGGCGGCGTTACAGAAGAAAGCTGATCTAGAGAAAGAATTGCAGCAGCTAGAAGCAGCAATTCAAGATTTTACACCTTTACTTAAAGAGTAATTTAAATACGCATGCAACAGGCAGATATGCTGCCTTATGTTGCCCATAATAGGCATCGTAAGGGCCCTGTCAATAACATATATTTTAGTACTAATTGTTTTAATTCAACTAGCAATTTGAATAAATATGTTTTATTACATAAAACAGAGACGAGAGGCGAAGTATTCACTTATTTATGATGCCAAGGCATCAAAGCAACAACTGCAGCAACAGATACTGCTTATGAGCTATACAAAAAGAATAAATTACTATTCAATAGCAGGAAATCTCCTATCTGCGACTCTTATGATCTGTACCTAACAGTGTATTTCCTATTATTCTTAGAGGAGGAAGAACGGCTAGAGTAGAGTTGGTACGTAGGTATGTAGAGACGCAGAGGCATTATATGAATTTTTTTCTTCTTTCTTACCTTTCTTTCTAACAAAAGACAAATTCATACACCAGGTAGATGGCCAGTCGCCGCGGGCCCCCTCGTGTGCTCAGGAGGAGAGGGCCCCACGTGACCTACCTGGCTGTACCTTGACGGTTAGTTGGCATTATAAAGGGGAGGTTTCTATATTTCCTCTTAATACATATTTAATTATCTGAATGAATATTAAGAAAGAAAAGAAAGCACAGAAAATTTCCTCTAAGAAATTGTTGGTGCGCAGCCCGAGGCGGGCGCGGCACAGCCCCAAGCTAAGCTTCGCTCAGTCTGTATTAAGAGGAGGGGGAAATAGAGAAGAAATAAGACTTATAAAGGAGAAAAGGGAGTATTAATTGAATTAAATTTTCATTTATTTTTACAGATAGTCTAAAGTAGTAACGTCATTCACATTGGTTGCAGCAAAATATCCTTTCTTTCCTTCCTAATATATATAATTGAAGTATAAGTACTACCTGCTGGTTGGTTTCCGCTCGATTTAACTGTGCTGCTGAGGTGTACGTACACCGAAAATATTGCAGGTTTTTCTGCATTTGTTTTCATTCATTCATGTTTTCCCTCAAAGTTGAAATCGCGGCTCCCGGCCGTCGTATTCGGCTGGGTGCTCCTCGTACAGTTATACAAGGGGATTCAATTCGTTGAAGTCATTACGTATGAATTTCTTTAAGGGTTTTTCCCCCTTCTGTTCTCTCAAGAAAGTTTGCAGGAGGCGGATAGGCTGATACATTGCTTGCTGTAGAGCAGCAATAGCAGCAGCAGCAGCAGCAATAGGAGCAGGAGCAGCAGGAGCAGGAGCAGCCTAGTTTAAGCGATGGAATGCGACTGTGATGGTACCCATTCTGTGCTTCTTCACGAGTCATGTTTCCGTCCATCTTTTGATTTAAATTGCAGCTCTACATCTAATAATAATGATGCTGCATTTCCGGTGTACAGACAGCCAATTCTTTTCCCTTCTTCTTCTACTTGTAGGGAGAAAAGAAGAAGAGGCTCTAAGACATCTGATGACGGCACATCATCATCCCCTGTAGCATTTCGTATTAAGAAGTGTCGTCTTTGTGTCTGCCGTCAATCATCACACCTCTATACAGAGGCAGCAAATCATATAAAACAGGTGGATGCATTGGTTGGTGTTGCTGTTGCACAACGGGCAGATTATCAGCAGCAGCAGCATCAACATCAACAACAGCAGCAACAGCATCAGCATCAACAGCCGCAACAGCAGCAGCAGCAACAGCAACAGCAGCAGCAGCAGCAGCAGCAGCAGCAGCAGCCGATTTCATTGCCTGAATATTCTTCTTCGACTTATTTGGCTGCAAATGAATTTCTTCTTATTTCGCACTATGAACGACTTGAGAGACAGCGGCAGAGAGCTGCAAATGCCTTCAGCAGCAGCAGCAGCAGCAGCAGCAGCAGCAATAGCAGCAGCAGCAACAGCAGCAGCAGCAACAGCCAAAGTGTATCTCTTCCATGCCCAACCCGTGCAGCAAAGCAGCAACGAGAATGCGCTTTACAGTCTTCGTCTCTCCATGCAGGAGGAAGAAGAGCAGCTACCGGTGATGGTCATGATGAAGGGCTGTTTGTTGCATGCGCTGATGTAAGACTGAATCGTTTGCTGCCTTTATCTGCTGCACGTGCTGCACCAGCACCATCCGTAGCAGCAGCAACAGAAGCAGAAGCAGCAGCAGAAGTGGGGTGTATAGACAGCAGCAGCAATCTGTATAATAACATGAATGCGTTCATAAGAAAAGTTCAGTTCTCTTAATATTAAGATTTTTTAGCTGTATATACACCTGAGGAACTTTTATTATTATTACCTCCCTATACACTCCAATTATTAACTCTACATACTCCGTCACTTTTATATTATATATATAATATATATATAGCAATAATTAATATGTATAATATTTATATTTATATTATATATATTAATTTATATATATTTATATATATATTTATTGTTATGGTAGCCAACAGAAGTAGTTTGTAGATGGGGTAGTAAAGGGCATCCATAGATGTGTGTGTATGCATGCAAAAGGAAAAAGAATGCAGTTGTTGCTGCTGTTGCTGTTGCTGTTGCTGTTGCTGCATATAAATGAATAATTAAATAATTAATTATTTATTAACTAAACAGCCCGCGGGTTGTCTGCTGCATGCATAACACAAAGAGGCATATAACAGTAAAACAATAATTAATACACAAAAATATATATTAAGAACATATATGCATGCATGCATGCATGCATGCAGGAGGAGGAGAGGGGGTAAATTGGTTCTTTTTATTTATATGTTTGTTGTATTGGACAGCAGCGATGCAAAAGCTGTAAAGAATGAACTTTTTAATTTATTCATGTATGCAAAGAGAGGCATTTTGTTGCTATGTACTAACCTTTTATTGAGGTGTATAGACACCTAAAAGTAGAGGGAAGAGAGGCAATATAGAGGTTATATAGCTTTGTTCTGTAGAGTATTTAATAGAAAAAATAATAAGTAATTAATTAATAAATAAGTATATTAGTAAATAGGGGGGAAAAAGGAGTTATTATTACTACCCACGTAAGTGTGAATAGACAAGTAGGTGTACGAATGGACAAAAGAAGGAAATTGTGAATTTTTTTGTTTAATTAAAAATTAGTAAAAAGAAAAAAGAAGAAAAATATTTATTTGTTTACTAAGATAAATAAATAGATCATTATTAGTTCCTCCCTTATTAAGAGACTCTTATCCCTCCTCCTCCCCCCCTCTCTTCTCCCCCCTCCCCTTAACGAAGTGTAAGGAAACACGAAATAAATGGTAATAAATGAACAAAAAAATAAAACAAAGAAAAGAAATAAAATAAAAGAAGAAACAAAAAATTAGGGAAAGAAGAAGAAGGCAACAAAACAGATCTCCCGATTTCTCTAGGTAAATACAGGTAATAAATAACTACATTATAATAGTAATTAGGGGGGGAACAACATTAAAATGCACTATTAATGAGTTTTTTTTGGAATAAATGAATTAAATTAATGAATTTATAAGTAATAAATAAAAAAAGAATTAAAATTAAAGAAAAAAAGCATAAAAAAGTTGTCACCAGCCCCCCACACTCTTCCTACCGGTTCCTTAATTCGTGTTCTAATTGTGGTGTCATGATGTCTAGATAATTTCTTGTAAAAAAAAATAAAGTGCATTAATTATTTATGAATTTATTTCTGTTTATTTGTCTTTTTTTATTTGGCTTTCTTTTTTTGCCTTTTTCTTGGGAATAAAAAAGGGAGGAATCGTCTTTTTACATCATCATTATACATAATACAACATAATCATCGCCTTGGCTGTTTTGTTGATGTTATTCGCATAAAAAGAGGGTCTTATAAGAAGAAAAAAAAGAAACATATTTCTTTTTCTTTATTTATATTTATATTCTCATGAGGAAATAATCAAAAAATTGAATTTTTGTCTTTTTCTACTTTCTCTGATTTCGGGTGTATAGGCACCTTGGTAACCTGGTGGATACAGATTTGTGGGTATTGTTGGTTTCTTCTTCATCATTTAAAGAAGGAAATTAGGGAATAATTGATTAATTAATAAATATTTTAGTTATTTTTCTTTCTTTTTTCCCTAATTGAATACATTTTTAGGAGATGCCCGACGAGAATTCCCAATGGAAGGAAACAAGAGAAGAAAGAATAAAAGAAGGAGGAGCAGTAGAAATGTCTTCCTCTCCTACTAATAATGGAGGAGGAGAAGGATTAGGAGCAACAGGAGCAACAGGATTAACAGGATCAGCAGGAGCAGGAGAATCTGCTGATGACAACAGTAGCAGTTTAGCGATTCGTTGTGTTGGTGGTGACATAAGCAGCAGGAGCAGCAGCAGGAGTAGCAGCAGCAGCAGGAAGAAAGCAACAAATAATACAAGGATAATGAATAAGAATACAATAAATAATAAGAAAAAAAAGAAGAGGAAATTATTAGCAGAGAATCAGCCTACTCCTTTTGGTCTAAATCGTTATATATTATTATTTATTCATATAATTTATGTAACAATTAGCGCAAGAGTTCTATTTGGTTGGCCTTCCTTATCTAGTATGTTATTAGAGGAAGGAGCTTATGAATATTTATGTACACAAGAAGAAATTAATAATTATTATTATAAATATTATAAATCTTTTATTTATAATAATTATATATATAATAATAATTATAATAATAATAATTATATAGATAATAATATAAATAATTATAATTATATAAATAATACTATAAAAGAAGAAGAAATAAATAATAATAATAATAATAATAATAATAATAATAATAAGGAAGAAAAAGAAGAAAAAGGAATAAATAAAGAAATAAGCCCTAAAGGAGTAAATAAAGAAAAAGAGGAAGAAATAAATAATATAAATAAACAAGAAAAAAAAGAGGAAAAAAAAGAAGAAGAAAAAGAAGAAGAAAAAGGAGAAGAAAAAGAAGAAGAAATACCTAGATATAAATGCAAGGAACAAGACAAGAAAGTACAATTATTATTTAATTTAGGTATATTTATTTCTTTTTCTTTTTCTTTATTAGGGGGAATATTATTAGATAAAAAAGGAGC